ACCCTCGTGACGTTTGACCCTTGTGAAATTTGACCATCCCCTTGTGACCCTCGTGCTGTTTGACCCTCGTGAAATTTGATCGTCCCCTTGTCTCGCTCGTCACGTTTGACACTAGTGAACCTTGTCTCCATGTGACCCTTGTGACTTTTGACCCTTGTGGAATTTGATCATCCCTTTGTGACCCCTGTGACCTTTGGCTTTCGTGAAATTCAGGCATTCCCTTATGACCCTCGTGACGTTTGACTCTCGTGAAATTTGACCATCCCCTTGTGACCCTCGTGCTGTTTGACCCTCGGGAAATTTGATCGTCCCCTTGTGACCCTTGTGACTTTTGACCTTCGTGAAATTTGATCATCCCTTTGTGACCTTCGTGACGTTCGACCCTCGTGATGTTTGACCCTCTTGAAATTTGACCATCCTCTTGTGATCCTTTTGTCCCTTCTGATATTTTGACCCCGATGAATCATCTTATTCTTGTGACCTCCCTGGTCATTAAATCCCTTATGAATATTTTTTAGATTAATTTTTTTTCTCATTACTTGTCCCTGCGAAAATATCGATCCCAACCCAGAAATATCGATACACCCAATATCGCGATTTTTCGCTTTTTTTCGGCTCCTGTTCCTAGTTAATTTTAAAAATTTCCGTTCACTAGAAATTGCATTTCAAATTATCTTTGAAAAAAAAATCTATTAAAATTGTCCTGGGATTAATTTTCAATTCCGAAAAAGTTGATTGGAAATAAAGAGATCACCAAGAATTACAAATCCAATTCTCAATTTTCAAAAAAGTTGATAATATTGAGAGGGGCTAGCATAAAATGCATTGTAGTCCTCGTTGCTCCAATCCTCAACTAACTCTCAATTTTCTCTCAAACACTGAAAATTATTGAAAGCCCAACTATCAACTTCGTTCGCCAGAGTCATTCCTATAATTTTCCCGAAATCCGGAAGATTTTCTTGGAATTTTCTCGAAAACCTAAAAATTTTCAAGAACCGCANATCTCAGAATCGGCCAAAAACTAATTGAGAGTTCAATAGATATCCAATAGAAGTTTCTAACCAATTCGCTAGGTAAATATTTCTATTAACCCTCGATCACTCGCGCTCGGCCGCTAGCCTTCGTTTATCGCACGGTTAGCGCAGCGCCGCTGGAGTAAACCGAGCGCGCTGTTGCCATGTTGGCGCCTACCGCTACGTGCGTCTTTCAAATGTGGCAGAGAATGAAGAAGTAAATGTAGCTCGCTCGAGTGGTCGACAGAGACTCACTCGCACCGGGCGGAGCGGCGCGGCGCGGTTTTCTGTCCGTTCGACTTGTCTTTTTTTTGTAGCTAAACAAATTTTTCGAGAAAAAAACAGACAATGCCAACGCTCAATAAAAAGATTGAACTAGGAACTCTAATTTTTAACAATTTTTAAGCGTCAAGAAAAACAAAAATATAAATAGACAAAAACGGGCGGCGTCGCGCTCATTGAACGAGTAATCGTGGGTTGAATTTTTTCATCCGTGACTTTTTAAAAAATCCAAGCATTTTCTAGAATTTTCTATAAAACTGGAGAATCTCTTCAAATTTCTCAAAGCATTGGACAATTATCTCGAAAACTTGTTGAGAATTGAATGTTGGTTTCTTTTGTTGATTATTTTTAATAATCGGATCTGGCTTTCCCTGGGCCAATCAGAGTTCAGTATTCAATAACATGAAGTACTTCCCAATTAAAATTAAAGCGGTTATTTCCCCCTAGCTTTTAATAATTTCCCTGTCGTTTTTGATAATTTCCCTCTAGCTCTGCAATTGTTTCTCTAACCAAATAACTGTCAAATATTATCCTGTGGAGTGAAAGAAAGTCATAAAGAAAGTCAAAATGAGTCGGTTTGGGAAGGATCCGATTACCAAAAATAATCCGTCGAATACCATCCGACCTCCAAAATTAATCAGACATCTCCCTCATGTTTTCCTGCGTATCAACGATCGGGATAAGTTTTGCATAAAAATCCCTGGCGCTGCGCGCTCGGGATTTTAATCTGCAAAACTTCTCCCTCCCGTTGCTACGCAACAAAACAATCGGGAGATATCCGATAATTTTGGAGGTCTCGTGGTATTACTACTGATTATTTTTCTCACTCGGATTTCAGCCAATCAGAGCGCAGTATTTGAGGCTGTCACCAGTTTTATTTCGGAAATTTCTAAAAACAATTCCGACGGAAATTCACTTATAGCTTTTCAAATGTTTCTCATCTTTCAACGCATTTCACGTTTAATATTCTGTCTGACAGGTAAACAAAAAAGTGGGTTATAAATGTATGACTGTGTAAACGTATCCGGGTGTTGTTCACTGCCCTCTGCTTGGCCGAAATCCGAGTAGAAAAATAATCCGTCAAATACCACTCGTACTCCAAAATTAATCGGATATTTTGAAGCACTAGTGGTATTACTACTGAAAATAGGATTTTTGATTCTCAATNAAAAATAATCCGTCAAATACCACTCGTACTCCAAAATTAATCGGATATTTTGAAGCACTAGTGGTATTACTACTCAAAATAGGATTTTTGATTCTCAATTAGTTCTCAATAGTTTCAAAAAAATTGAGAGTTGGATTCTTGATTTTCAATTAACTCTCAATTCACTGAGAGTAGATTGAAAGACAATTGAGAATCAAAAATCCAACTCTCAACTCTCAAAAAAGTTGAGGGTACATTCAGAGATACTTGAGAATCAAACTTCAAAAATCCAATTTTCAATCCCGATAGTAAAGTTGATAGTAGATAGGGCGACTGGCATAAAATGCATTTTACGCCTCGTCACTTCAACTTTCAAATAACCCTGAATTTTCTCTCAAAAACCAGAAATTATCCAGAGTCGAACTCTCAACTTGGTCCGGAAGAGCCAAGTTTCTGAGAGCGTTCCAGAAAATTCTCCGTTTTTCGAGAAAATCCATCGATTTTCAAAAAAAAATCGAAAAAATTCTCCAATTTTCTAAAAACTTTGAATTAATGTTCCAGTTTTGTAAACAAAATCGAGAAAATTATTGGGTTTTTGGGAACGTTCTAGGAAATTCTTCGATTTTCTAAAAAATTCAAGAAAATTCAAGGTAATTCTCCGATTTTCTATTAAATTGCGTGAGGTTCGCCGATTTTCTCATAAGTTCGGAAGAATTCTACGGTTATCTAGGAAATTCCATGAAATTCATCGATTTTCTAATAAATTCGGGGGAATCCTCCAGTTTTCTAGAGAATTCGACAAACTTCTCCGTTTTTCGAGAAAATTCTCCAGTTTATTAAAGAATTTGCGAAAATTCTGCGTTTTTATAAAAAATTGGAGAAAATTATCCGGTTTTCCGAAAACTGAAAAAATTCTCCGGTTTGCGTTTGAAAAAAGAATTTTTAATTTTCAATTATCTGTCAATCTACTTTCAACGTTTTTGAGAACAGAGAATTTGGTTGTTTTGTTTTTGAAAATAACATTGTTGATTCTCAATGATTCTGAATTAGAGATGCAAAATGACAGTCATTTTTGACATCGCGTCATGTGACCAAAAAATGACGGTCATGTGACGCACGAATTTCGTAACCACAAATGATCGCCACAAATAATTTGTAAGCAAATTGTTGTCAAACCATCTATATGGATACATAATGACGGTCAAACTTCTAATTTGTTCACATTTCTAATTTGTGACTGTCATAAATAACATAGCTTTATCTCTAGATAGATGGAAAATGACCGTAATTTTGATTTCAAAATGCACATTAGGCAAATGCAAAATGAAATCAAAGAAAAATTGATAATAAAACAATGAGCTTGCATCTGAATAGATAATAAATGACTGTCGTTTTTTCTTGACCAATTGTGACGGTCATAGAAGGGTGGGGAAATTGTGACAGTTGTGGAAAACGTCTCGTCATATGACCGTCAATGACAGGTCATGTAATGCATTCACAGCTCTATCTGCATCTTATTTAAAAAAAAAACGAATTCTCAACTCTGTGGAAAAGTTGAGTGTAAATTGAAAGGCAATTGATGATTAAAATTCAATTTCCAAAATGCAAATCTGAAAATAAATTGAGAGATAATTGAGAATCAAAAATCCCATTGAAAAAAAAAAAATGCAGTTCTCAACTCTCAGAAAAACTGGAGATTCGATTGCGAGATTATTCAGAATCAATAATCCAATTTTCAACGCTAAAAAAAGTTGAGAATAGATTGAGAGATTATTGAGAATCAAAAATTCAACTCTCAACTTGCGAATTGAGAGTTAGATTTTTTGATTTTGAAAATCGGATTTTTGATTAGAGAATCAGTGAATTTTCTCAAAAATTTTCTATATTAGAGCTTTTCCCGAAATTTAGCGCAAACACGCTGAGTTTCACTTGTTTTGTTGTTTTTTTCAATTATTATTATTATTATTAATGTTATTATTATTGTTATGGCTGTAAGAAAGTGCAATACAGTGTGTTGCTCCATTTCCACGAGTGGGAGTGAGATGCAGGAATGCTTGGTACCCGTGGGCCCTCATTGGGTTACACACCTGAGCTATCCGCTCGACAATTCTCATTTCCAGGGTTGGGCATATGGTCAAGTTGGAAGTTTTTGACGTGACATTGTCAAGTACCGGTAAATTACCAATAATGCGTCAAAAACGGTCGATAACGTCGAAAACTGTCATTAACCTTTCTAACCTCACAAGTCACTTGAAATTCGAGTTGTATTGCATAGATACGTGAAAATTGAAATAGTCTTGATCAAATTACATGATTGACTGACGAAAAAACAAAAAAATTCTATTATTTTCTCCTTTATTCGATGTGAAAAATAATTTCTACGTCGAGTGAGTATTGTACGATGAATTCAAAGAACGCTACTTCAGAGGTGAGTAGGATAATGTGACTTATTTAATTTAATTGCTATTCAGACATTAGCGAAAATATAATCAACAAAACAATTTAAATTCCAGGCATTTCTTCCCGGAAATCATGATACCGGAGCAAAACGTCAAAGGATGGGGTCTGGCACATCAAGCAAACCCAGTAATAGTGATGCAATTGATGTGGCTTTAGCTGAATTTTTCTTCGGTTGCAACGTGTCGTTCAATGTTGTTGAATCTGATCTATTCAGACGATTTGTCAAGATTTTGAATCCCTCATACAAATGTCCATCAAGGAAAAAATTGGCAACCAAATTACTGGATACGATTCATGTTAGAGTTATTGAGAAAATGAGATACCCGGAGCCGATGGAGGGGGTCTTATTGATAGATGGGTGGAAGAATTCATCAGCGAATACCAAGAACGTAGTCTGTACTATCCAAACTCACGATGGAAATAGTATTTTCTTATATTCTTGGGATTTCAGTGAACTGAGGGAAACCGGTGATGAATTAGCCAGAGTCATTGATGAAGCTGTTGCAATGGCCAAGGAGAAGTTCAATGTGCTCATCCATGCTGTTGTTTCTGATAACGCGTCGGCGATGATGCGGATGGGTCGCCTGGTGGAGGTTTGGCACAGTACCTGCAGTTCGCACAGTGGAAATTTGTTCTTGAAGTCCCTCGTCGATTCGAAGTTTGCTGAGTCAATCAACAAATTGTTACGAGAGTTCAAAACGCCTCGTGCAGAAAGAGAATTGAAAAAACGGAAAGGTAGTAGGATCATGTTAGCCTGTGAGACTCGGTGGTGCTCATATAGAGACACGTTCCGTTGTTGCTTGAGGAATCTTGACCTCATGCGTCAGTTAGTTGATGAACAAATTGTCATTCTAAAGAACATCAATGCTGAATTGCTGAATGACAGTACATTGGCAGATAAACTCCAGGATTACATCGTTCTCTTCGACCTCGTATGTGAGCTTGTCAATAAATGTCAAGCATCTGATTGCAAAATTGCAGATGCTGCTGAATATTGGCTGTCATTGAATGTCCCAGTGGACGATGCAAAAGTTGATGCGACACTGGATGCACGTCTTGACAAAGTCTTGCAGCCAATTGCATTGGTGGCTAATTTTTTGCATCCCAAATATCAAGGCCAAAAATTTGCACATTTGGAAGTATTCAATGCTAAAGTGATAGAATTTCGGAATACCGAATTAGGTGTAGAAAATCCAGAAGAATTGGAAGCAGTCAAGAAATTTCAGAATAAGGAGAAGCCTTTTGAAGCAATCTTCAACAAGAATGTTGAATGTGCGAAAACATTTTGGTGTTTTATTAAGCCCTACTATCCTGCCTTAGCACAATTGGCTATCAAATTGTCCAACATTCCCAGTTCATCTGCACAAATCGAGAGATTGTTTTCTCACTGGGCTTTTATCCACTCCGATTTACGGAATCGGCTTAGTGTAGAACGTTCCATGAAACTCGTCGGGATTTATTATGCATTTAAAATGCAGGATGCCATCGGTAATTATTATTGGGATGAGGAATGATTAAGGATTATTTTCTACAAATATAATTCATGACCAAATATATGTAATAATGACTCATACTTACAATCGATGATTTCACTATCTATGTGGTTTAATAAAGTGTAGTGAGCAAAGTTGAATATTGAAGGGAAAGTCTGGAAATAAAAATTCGTAATTTACAGAACTCCATATATTTATTTATTTATTTGCATTGAATCGTAATGAAATTTACTCAGGTAACGAAACGTACTAGTAATCATACTTCATTATTAGTTTCATCTTAGGTTGAAAATCACATATTAACGATCACTCTACATCATAGAGTCTACAGATATGATAATACTAATCATTGGAGATCATCACAAGGATTAACCTAATCAATAACGACATATTAGATTGATAAAGCAAAACACATTTTAAATAAGCTGATCATAATTTTTTTAGAGAAAAAAACACGCTTTTAACACATTGTCTCCATACTGAACTACTCTCACTCTAGAATTTCAGTCGAGGCAAAACTTCCAGAAATAAATCGGAATAGTCTGATAGAAATACTTTGGATCCAACAGTCCAACTTTTAAGCAACCTAGGAAATGAGCAGAGAATACGAGGCGATACATCTTCTTAGAATTACTATTCTTCCTCATCGATCTTTTGGAGTCTCAGGTAATGATGAAGATCGACGAGCTTCTGAACACGAGTGGGAGTCAGTTGATCAGTGGGAATGTCCACGAAGTCCAGCTTCGTCATTTTTACTGGGATGTGAAGCAACTTGCGGGCTAGAGAACTCAACTCTGGGTAAGAGATGGCTGCAGCATTTCAGAATGACTTCCAACCGGGAAGGGGGCTCTTTTGAAACAGACTACGGAATATTCCTGACTTATTTCTGTAAGCAGAAAATTCTGTTAACCCATCTCCAGTGAGCCATTCTACTACGAATTCAGTCATCCTCTGGAGTTTTTCTTTATCATCAGTATTGGAAGTAAAAAGTCTGCCTTGATACTTCGGATGCAAGAAATTGGATGCCAATGCTTCTGGAGTCAAAATGTAACTCAAATCCCCCAAGTTAAAGCAGCTTTCGGCACATAAGATTTCGAATTTCAGCCAACCTTCAACAACATCGCCCAACGTTTTCTTCGAGTCTTCACATTGCTTCAAAATCTCCTGGAGGGCATGGGAAATCTGAATAAATTCTTTCAATTTATGTTCGAAGCCAGAATCAAATAACTTGATAATCTTATCACCGAGGTCGAGTGTACCATCTGCTGCTATCTTTTTCAGCAAGTGCAGATTCTCAAGGTAATTGGAGTACATTTTGGCGACATCTCTCCAGTCATCAGTTGCCTCGTATTGCAGGGAAGTACCACCAGCATCCTTGATTTTTGTTTCCACAACTTCAGCTGGAAACTCTTCCAAAATACTTGAAAATTTTTCAGTGAGGCTGTCATTCTTTAATTTCCCACCTACCAAGTTGACTGATGAGGTGGTATCAATGAAATACCACATTGTGTTACATGTCTCTTTCTCAACCGCCCGCTCCATAGATTTGTTCTCCATCACTACAGCGTAAATATTCATATCATACTTATCCTTAGCGACTTGAATAGCATCCATGATAATCTCTGTTTCCTCAGTGAATCCAGATTGACCCTCACTAGGTTCACGTGAACCTAGGTACACCATGCTGTCTCCCTCGTGAGTTTTAACTACTCCAATCGCCGTCAGTGTGCCCAGCGTCTCTACCACCTTTCTCCACCTGGCAATCATCAATACACAGTCCCCTGTGTTCAGATTTCTCTGTTGGTGAGTCTCCACGTCTTCATAAACTTTCAAGAGCAATTTTGTTTCCAAATCTCCCGTGGTAATGAGTTGGCAAGCAGGCCTGAGCTTCTTCACGAGGGCCTCAAAATATGGAGATTCCACAATTGAAAAATCCAACCCTGAGGTATACACCAGTTTTGCAATGAGTACGTCAATTTCTGCCTGTTCTTTTGGTGAAATGGTGTCAACAAAGTTGCTTATAACACCTTCACGTCTTTTTTTACGACGAGGAGTGGACATTAATGATGGTGATGGAACCTTGGTGGGCGCAGCACCAGACGTACCATCTGGAAAGGCTGCAACGTTAGAAGTAATGGGTACCTCCAGCTCAACTGGTGGAGTCTGGAAACAATAAATATGATACTCTTGATCTTGCATAGGGGAAATATATGAATGTTGCTGAGAACATATTGATATGACTACAATACCTTTTGGGCTGTATTTAACTGTGGATTCTTCGGATTGGATCGTAATGGTGAACGTCTTGTTGATAGTATTGATTGACGCTTGGGTGAATAGCTTGGTGAACGCGATGAACAGTTTTTTCTAGAAAAGCACGAGGTCAGGTCAGTGATGCCAGATGGGAATTCCCACACGCTCCCCACTCCTCTCGGGTAATAGTGCGCAGCCTTTAGGGCGCAGTCGGCCCGGCGCGACGTTTGAATATTTGATTTGGGCATGGCTCGTTACTTTATTAGCGTGTCATTTCATGCAAGTCACAAGGGCAATGATGGCCATGAGGAGAATGTCAAATTTCTCGAGGCCCACGAGGGTCACGAAGAGAAAGTCAAGGTTCATGAGGGTCACGAAGGGTAATTAGGGCCACGAGGAGAATGTTGAAATTCTCGAGGCGCACAAGGGTGATAAGGGCAACGAGGACAACAAGGACCACGAGGGCAGCGAGGGGAAGGTCAGATTTCATGTGGGTTACGAAGGGTAATGGGGGTCACGAGGAGAATGTCGAAACTCTCGGGGCCCACGAGGGCGACGAGGGTCCCGAGGGTGATAAGAGCAACGAGGGGAAATTAAGATTTTATGTGGGTCACCAGGGTAATGAGGGCCACGAGGAGAATGTGGAAATTCTCGAGGCCCATGAGGGCAAAGAGGGAATCGAGGGTCACAAGGGCAACGAGGGCCACGGGGTAAGAAGATTTCACGTAAGTCACAAGGGTAATGAGGGCCATGAAGAGAGTCTCCAAGCCCACGAGGGTCACTATCAATGAATAATTAATCGATGTAGATTAAAAATGAGACTGAAATTTTACCTTGAAAAAAAAAAAATTGGGAAAAAAAATATGAGTGGGAATCGAACGTGGATCCCCAGCGTTGTAGCTGCGGTACGTAACCACTGCACCACTGCGCTATTGTGATATTATGAGTTTTCCAAAATGGTCAACATTCAGAAACGTCACAATTTCCTATTTTGTTATGAATAAACAAAATCAATCGGATTTTAAATGGTTGATGTTTCTTAGGGAAACGCCCTGTAACTGCAATTAATATTAAATCGTTTTAGACATTCGGAGTGGCTATTTACCCCGAATTTGTTCTATTGCGATTCGTAATTGATCATGTTATTAATATACTGTTAGGGTTATTTTATTAATATAATGTTTCGTAATTGAAACTTTATGTTCAAACGGTTTAATGAACTCTCTTCTGATTCGCTATTTTTTATTTCCGAATTGGAATATCTCCCTAATTTTTGTCGAGAGAATTTCCGAAAAACAATCGATCGAGAGACTCGGGACAATTCCGCGAACTCATAAAACTCCCGCAGACCAATGAACGTCGACTTTTGTTTTGACATCGACACAATACACTCACTCCTGTGTAAGAATCAAAACAGAAGTCAACTTAATCTCGTTCAGTCAGTCACGTAAAATTGGTGGTGAAACCTTCATAAGTGATTTATTTTTGACGAGTTTATCGAGTTTTCGTGATAAAGTTAAATTACGAGTTGATATGGAGATCACAGGAGAGCGGGACCAAAGCTCAGGACATGGAGTTTCCGGTATTCCAGTATCAAAGAAGAGGAAGGTATTTCAAGAATCCTGGAAAAAAGAGCCTGAATTTTCAAATTGGTTGGAGAGTGTTGAAGGTAAGCTAAATAGTGCATTTTGTAGTGCTTGTGCGAAAGTGATTGCTGCTGGAAAATCTGAACTTCACAAACACGCGAGTAGTGATAAACATAAAGAAAATATTTTAAAATCAATTTCAATTGACCGCGAGGAAGAGAATAGTGATGAAGGTAATGTTCTTGAGAAGGATTCGAGTAGTGTTGGGCTAGATCATCAAGAATCGGTTAAAACCGCGGAAATTCTTATTGCTAATTTCATTGCTGAACACAACGTTCCAATTTCTATTGTAGATCATCTCATCCCTGTTTGCAAAAGAGCATTTCATGATAGTCAAATCGTGAAAGATAGTTCTCTCGGGCGTACAAAGTGCACAAGTATTATTGAAAATGTTTTGGCGAAGGTCGCGAGTGTCAATCTAATAGATATTTTGCGGGTCAATAAATTCTCAGTCCTGGTGGATGAAACAACGGATGTTTCCAAAACGAAAATTCTTTGTGTTCTCGCGAGATATGTTTCACCTGAAGACGGTGAAGTTAAAACCGAATTTTTAGATCTAATCAAATTGGACGCGACTGATTGCTCAGCGGAAAAAATTTATAATTCTTTTAAAAAATCGGTACAGGATAAACAAATTCCTCTTCAAAATATCGTAGGCTTGGCTTGTGACAATGCAAGCGTTATGGTTGGCATTAAGAATTCCTTCGCACAGAGATTAAAATTAGAAGTTCCCAATCTTATTTTGATGAACTGCACTTGCCATTCTTCCGCGATCGTTGCTTCTAAAGCGTGCAGTCAGTTACCCAGTGAACCGGAGGAATTGATTAAAGGTATATCGGGGTACCTCTGCAACAGTCCCAAACGTTGTGAAATATTAGCTGAGTACCAAGAGTTTTTCAATTTAGAGAAATTAAAAATTTTGAACCTGGCAAATACGCGATGGTTATGTTTGCATCAATGTGTGGTGCGAATTCTCGTTAATTGGGAACCTTTAAAATTATTCTTCTCATCAGCAATGCTGGAAGAACAGTCACCTTCAGCACAGAAGTTGTACGAATTATTAGATGACCAATGTGTCAAGGCTTATTTCCTTTTTTTAAAATATACAATGAATTCTTTCAA